GGCAGTACGCTGAGGTCAGTGGTCACGTGTGGTCACACCTGCCTAAGCTCTTGGGAGTTAGCGTGGGCTGTTACCAAGCACCATGGCTTGTTGTAGTGTTTTAGAATCTCAGGTTCAAGTGTTGAAGAAGGAGATTCTACTTCTTCAGGAGGAAAATAGGAAGCTGAAGCTTCGCATAGATGAGTTTGGGAGCGAGTGTTAGAAGGATTTAGCTGGTAAGGAGGAAATGGTCACCAGCAGTGATAGTGGCAGCCGCTTTAAGTGGCAAGTGGTTCACAGTTCAGGAAGAAGGAAGATGAGGAGAATTAATAGAGAAGATGTGAAGGTAGGAAATCGATTCTCTGTTCTCCAAGACGAGTGTATTTCAGTGGTTAGTGAGGTTGAAGGTAACACTGATTCCCCTGTTAATCAAGGTAAGAATATTTTAATAGTAGGCGATTCTCAGGTAAGATATATGGACCGTGCATTTTGTAACAGAGACAGAAAGGTCAGACAGAGAGTGTGCCTTCCTGGAGCTGGTGACATAGTCAGCAGGTTGGATAATATTATGGCAGGTAATGGGAACAAGCCCATTATCTGTCTTAGTGCTGGGGGTAATGATATTGGGAAGAGCAGGAGAGAGGAGCTGCTGGATAAGTACAGGTCAGCCATAGAAGTAGTTAGGTCTAAGGGAGGGATCCCAGTCATATGTAGCATCTTGCCTAGAAAGGGAGTGGGCAATGAATGGATGTCTAGGGCAACTGGTATAAATTGCTGACTAGACAGATACTGCAAGGAACTTGCAATCCCATTCATTGATAACTGGGACCTATTCTTTGGCAAACGTGATATGTATGCAAGGGATGGGGTTCATCTCTCTGGGGATGGGGTGGTTGCATTAGCCAATTCGATTGAGAGGGTAACTGATGACTTGTCTAGGAATTTAAACTGAAAGATTATAGAGGTATGGGTGTATTAGGGTTAAAAGCAGTAGTTATTACCGGGATACCTCAGGGATACGTTTAAAAGACAATATTCAAGTTGCTAGTAATGGCAAATCAAATGATCAACAAACAAAGAGAGATAGTAGAGGGCAACGAGTGACTAGCTCCCTTAAGGTTTACTATACAAATAGTAGGAGTCTAAGAAATAAAATAGATGAGCTAAGATTACTTGCAAGTGTAGGTAATATAGATATTATTGGTATAACAGAGACCTGGTTCAACCTGAAAGATAGAGAAATGCCTTCTGAATGCAACATACAGGGTTATAAACTATTCCACACTGATAGGGTGAACAGGAAGGGGAGGAGTGGCGATGTATGTCAGAGAAAATTTAAATTGTTGTCTTAGACATGATAAAAGATTAGAAACACCGAACACAGAATCTGTTTGGCTACAGTTTCTCGAGGGACGTGACAAATTATTTTGGGTGTGCTTTATAGGCCCCCAAACCTTGATAGGGAGTGCAGTAAGCTGTTATGGGACGAAACTCATAAGGCATCTAGATATGAAAATGTTGTGATAATGGGAGATTTTAACTTTAGACAAATTGATTGGAACAATATGACAGGAAATCTTGAGTCTAGTGACTTTCTTGATACGATTCAGGATTGCTTTTTAGAACAAGTTGTGACAGAACCAACTAGAGGAAACAATCTGCTTGACTTGGTTCTTGCCAACAAAGATTTACTAATTAATAATCTTGAGGTTAATGGTGAGCTTGGAATTACCCAGATAACTGCAATCAAATCTCTGTCCCAGATTTTCACTTGGCCGACTTCATGGGACTGAAAAATTACCTGGGTGGGCTAAATTGGGATGTTCTGACTATGGGTCAGGTAGGTGATCTTGGCTGTCAATATGACGTTTTTCAGAGCATAGTTCTAGCTGCCCAGACAACTTTTGTTCCGAGTAGGGAAATTAGATCTAACAAAAATTATCCCAAATGGATGAACAATAGATTAAAACATCTCATTGGTCAAAAGAGAGGCATATATAGGCGTATCAAAAGAGGGAATGGGCAGTTAAGTAATCAATATATTCAATTAAAGAGAGAAATAAAGAAAGGAATAAGAAAAGCAAAAAGTAATTATGAGGCTAAGGTCGCAAGGGATTCAAAGACTAACCCAAAACGGTTCTTTCAGGTATACAGAAGTAAGATTAGGGACAAGATTGGCCCACTTAAGAGTAACTCTGGTCAGTTCACTGACAGTGATAAGGATATGTGTGAAATTCTATATACCTACTTCCTCTCAGTTTTCACCCAGGAAAATACTAGTGATATTCCTGAAATAATAGATTATGTAGAACAGGATGATAATAAACTATGCACGATTGCGGTAACTAGTGACATGGTCCTCAGACAAATAGAGAAACTAAAACCTAACAAATTCCCAGACCCTGATGAACTGTTTGCAAGGGTTTTAAAGGAATGTAAAGAGGAACTTAGCATACCTTTGGCTAAATGTAATACCTATTTACAAGGCAGGTGACATGTCCTTGGCTTCGAACTATAGACCAATAAGCCATAGTGGGAAAATTTATGGAATCAATAATTGCCGAAGCAATTCGTAGCCATCTTGATAGGCACAGATTGGTTAATGAATCTCAACACGGTTTTACAAAGGGGCGTTCCTATTTTACGAATTTACTAACTTTTTTTCACTAAGGTGTTTGAGGAGGTAGATCATGGTAATGAATATGATATTGTGTACATGGACTTCAGTAAGGCTTTCGATAGAGTTCCACACCAGAGGCTGTTGAGGAAACTTAAGGCACACGGAATAGGAGGAGAAACTTTTTCCTGGGTAGAGGCATGGCTGACAAATAGGCAGCAGAGAGTTTGCATAAATGGGGAGAAATCAGAATGGGGGCACGTCACAAGCGGTGTTCCTCAGGGGTCAGTGTTGGACCCTTTGTTGTTCACAATTTACATAAACGACATAGATGAGGGAATAAATAGCGACATAAGCAAATTTGCTGATGACACCATAATAGGCCGTCCAATTCATTCTAATGAGGACACTAGAGCACTCCAGGATAATTTGAATAGAGTGATGCAATGGTATGAGAAGTGGCAGATGCAGTTTAATATTGACAAATGCAAAGTTCTAAATGTTGGACATTTAAATAACCATGCCACATATAAACTAAATAATGTAGATCTTAATACTACTGATTGTGAAAAGGATTTAGGAGTTCTGGTTAGCAGTAACCTAAAACCAAGACAGTGCATTAGTGTTCGCAATAAAGCTAACAGAATTCTTGGCCTCATATCTAGAAGTATAAATAATAGAAGTCCTCAGGTTGTTCTTCAACTCTATATATCCTTGGTTAGGCCTCATTTAGACTATGCTGCTCAGTTCTGGTCACCGTATTACAGAATTGATATAAATGCTCTGGAAAACGTACAGAGGAGGACGACAAAGATGATCCCATGTATCAGAAATCTTCCCTATGAGGATAGACTGAGGCCCTGAATCTGCACTCTCTCGAAAGGCGTAGAATTAGGGAGGATATGATCGAGGTGTATAAATGGAAAACAGGAATTAATAAAGGGGATGTAAATAGTGTGCTGAAAATTTCCAGCCAAGACAGGACTCGCAGCAATGGTTTCAAGTTGGAAAAATTCAGATTCAGGAAGGATATAGGAAAGTACTGGTTTGGTAATAGAGTTGTGGATGAGTGGAACAAACTCCCGAGTACAGTTATTCAGGCTAAAACTTTGTGTAGTTTTAAAAATAGGTTAGATAAATACATGAGTGGGTGTGGGTGGGTGTGAGTTGGACCTGACTAGCTTGTGCTGCTGGGTCTGGTGCAGTGCTCCTTCCTTGAGTGGAGGTGACCAGACTGGGCGAAGGTGACCAGACTGGGTGGGTCATTGGGCTAATCCGCGGGGGGGGATGTCATTGGGCTAATCCGAGGGGGGGGGGTCATAAGGGCCTGCTCTGCATGGGTCAGTAGTCCTGTTGCAGTGTTCCTTCTCTCTTATGTTCTTATGTATCTTTATACGTATATGCTTCTAAACTGTTGTATTCTGAGCACCTCTGCAAAAACAGTGATTATGTGTGAGTGTGGTGAAAGTGTTGAATGATGATGAAAGTATTTTCTTTTTGGGGATTTTCTTCCTTTTTAGGTCACCCTGCCTCGGTGGGAGACGGCCGACTTATTAATATATATATATATATTTTATATATATATATATATATATATATATATATATATATATATATATATATATATATATATATATATATATGCAACAAGATCACAGTAAACAGGTGATTTCAGAATATGCAAAACAACCACTCTGAAAGAATAGAAAAATCCCAAGCGCTTTCGTGACTACTCACATTATCAAGGAACTATGATTCTATGTTCCTTGATAATGTGAGTAGTCACGAAAGCGCTTGGAATTTTTCTATTCTTCCAGAGTGGTTGTTTTGCATATATATATATATATATATATATATATATATATATATATATATATATATATATATATATATATAATATATATTAATATATATATATATATATATATATATATATATATATATATATATATATATGTCGTGCCGAATAGGCAGAACTTGCTATCTTGGCTTAAATAGCAACGCTCATCTTGCCATATAGGACAAGTGAAAATTTGTGTATGCAATAATTTCGCCAAAATCATTCTGAACCTAACGAAAAAAATATATTTGATTGTGTTTGTTTAGTATTAAATTATTGTAAACGTATTTAAAATATATTTAGTTGGGTTAGGCTAAAATAAATTGTTCTTGTTATAATAAGGTTAGGTAAGTTTTCTAAGATTCTTTTAGTGCAAAATTAAAAATTTTTACATTAGCATTAATGAAAAAAATATATCTTTAAATGTATAAGAGAAAATTTCAGAAAAGACTTAATTTTAAATGAGTTCTTGCTAATTGACCAGTTTTATATATTCGGCACGACACACACACATATATATATATATATATATATATATATATATATATAATATATATATATATATATATATATATATATATATATATAAAATATATATGGCAGGCAGTTACCTGGAAGAGCTCGTCGGAGTCATCAGCACAAGCCTCCCACTCTGGTGAGTCGATGAACTGGTTGGGCAGGATGTAGTGCAGGTGTGTGGAGTCGCAGGTCACCCGCAGCCTGCACGCAACACCAAGGAGAAGTACACAAGTGTAGTCTAGACACATGGATACAGGATATACTGTTATTCTCTTCTATAACTCATCTAACTCGACAAATATCTTACCAGTATCATTTTGTACTATTCTGGATCACTATCTGATCACTGTCATATTATTTTCGTATTTGGCCACAAGAGACTAGGGGACAAGTGTTTGTGTTGCAACACTACTACTGATGTAAGTATAAACGTTATGTTACAAGTCATGGAAAGCCATGTACACACTCGCATTGTACAGCATCTATCAGACAACCATCTTACACCACAATTTCAAGCTAGCTTCAAGCTCCAGTGCTTAACCTTAGATGAAAAATAATAGTTATCCTCCAGACTAGCCAAACTGGTGGTCACGTTAGAATGGTCTGGTTTAGGGGGCCCCCACTACTCTGTTTCGCTGTCCAGTTCTAACACCAGCTTGCCCTCGGCTGAACTAATGTTTTGCTTCCACACCTGGCTGGGACACACGCTCACTCAGGCTGGTCGAGTACACTTACAATACACAAATAACCCGCACAAAGGAGAACTTTTGACGACATTTCGGTCCGACTCGGACCATTAGCTAGTCACACCAAGTCGGACCGAAACGTGGTCATAAGTTTCTCTCTATGTGCGAGTTATTTGTGTATTGTTCCAGTCACGATATTTTGCCTTTTGTTGTTTACACTTTAAAATACTGGTGTATCTTGAGGCGGGAAACCAACTCTTGAGTGACCCTTTGCTCTCACACTATATTATTTGGCTGATTTATTGCATACTGTATACACACTGTAAACACATTGGTGAAGGGAATATACGGGTACAGAATCTACAGTTTTCGTATTTACCTTTGCCTCTGTTTGCTTGGGTTGTTCCTTGTCTAGAAGCTTGATTTACAACTAGGTATAACAAGCCTTTTTACGTGCATATGTTTGTAATAAAAAAAGGGTAGGAAAGGAAGGGGTGAAGAGGGAAGAAAGAAGAGGTGAGAAGGAGGCTGAACCCATCTATAGATTTGAGCAGGTCAAAAGAGGTCAGAGAAAAGGTTAATGTTCAGTTCACGTTTAGGAAGGTCAGGAAAGTCAGTACAGGTTTAGGAAGGTCAGGAGAGTCAGTACAGGTTTAGGAACTTCAGGAGAGGTCAGTACAGGTTTAGGAAGGTCAGGAGAAGTCAGTACAGGTTTAGGAAGGTCAGGAGAGGTCAGATGAAGGACTCACTTGCCGGAGACGAGGATGGAGAAGCGCTCGTCAGCAGGGGTTACGTCTTCGATAGCGTACGTCTCTCCAGGTTCTAGCCATACCAACGACGCCTCCCGTACCAAGTGACGGAAATTCTGCCGGTTCACCTGCCATACAAAGTGTGTATTAAATCCCAGCAACACAGTGGAGAGATATGTATGCACTGTGGGTATTACACCTCTGTGGGTGCTCCTGTGTGGGTAGAACACCTGGACACACAATCATACCTCCCACAGTAATCAAGAAAGGATAGGTACACTGCTAACTTTTACTGTGGTAACGTCTGGCTCTTATACAGCTTTATAAAGTCGATAATGATAACATTTTACACAGAAGAAAAGGCAGTAACTTGTCAGGTAAATTTATGGCCATGCGCAAGTGTCATTTTTTTTTTCGTCTCCTGACACTTGCTACTCGTTGTCTAACAGGAAATAGTAACCTAACTTTGGTTGAGTGTTGTATATTACATACCGAGGTAAAGACCATCACATCCTGGGGTAAGGACCCCTCACATACTTAGGACCGTCACATACTGATGTAAGGACCCCTCACATCCTGGGGTAAGGACCCCTCACATCCTGGGGTAAGGACCCCTCACATACTTAGGACCGTCACATACTGATGTAAGGACCCCTCACATCCTGGGGTAAGGACCCCTCACATCCTGGGGTAAGGACCCCTCACATCCTGGGGTAAGGACCCCTCACATCCTGGGGTAAGGACCCCCTCACATACTTAGGACCGTCACATACTGATGTAAGGACCCCTCACATCCTGGGGTAAGGACCGCCACATCTTAAGGGAAGCACCTAAAAATGGCCCCAGGGTTACTAATGAGAATACATCTTCTACAAGTTGCCTGAGTGATCAAATCAGGGAACGGTTGGAGTCTGAACCCAAGGCGAGTAAGTCCTCAAACACGCAGGCCAGTGCGTTAACGACTCGTCAGTTGGCCGAGGGTTCCGACCTCACTCATTCCGTGATTTAGTGAATCACTACTACTAAGTTATCACAGTACTGAGTTATCACAGTACTGAGTTATCACAGTACTGACAAGCTGATGAAGACACGCATCCAACACTTAGACAACTTTATTGATAGGTAAAACGACACAAGTGCAACTAATGCAACATTCTTTTTGTTGCCACGTTTCGCTCTCCAGGATCTCTGTCCATGGCAACAGTGTGAGTTACCACGACAAGTCTGACCCCAATGTAATGCATTACTCGACTCCCCACACTGACCTTTAGAGGTCTGAAGACCTTATCGTAGAGGTCAACCAGGTCCTTCTGGACTCGAGGTGGCCACACGGTGTAGGTGAGGTAGAGAACATGGCCCGTGTTCACCAGCAGGAAGCTGAGGTTCCAGGCTAGGATGTCCACGGCACAGATATCCAATCCCGCCCACAATGTGAAGAGCAGCACACCCACGCACAGCACCGCCCGCATCACCAGCGCAGACATGCGGAAGTTGTGCGGCACCAGGAACGCCAGCAAGCAGAAGAAATTGGCCACCTGGGGAGTATAACTGCATTTAAAAAAAAAATCATGCGCTAAACCTGTGCGGGTCATACAAAGAGCTGTAGCCATACTGTAGTGAGGATCGCCAGTCTTCTCTCACCTCAAGAGGCGCGTGAGTTTCCATGTGTCGTAATATCATGCTTATTTTCCCCCTATAATCTACCTTGTCCATGATTAGTATCACATTTGCTTTGTTTGCTTCCGTTTGCTTCTTTGAGGACAATTATTGTGTTGTAGAGGTGTGCGCAAACCTCAGATGAAAGATGATGCAAATTGACTCAACAAATAGCAAGATAGTGTCGTCTTTAACACACACACGCCTGCTTCCCACTAATAAAACAGAAAACACATTCATCATCCTTCGTCCAATAGGCAGAAGTAAGCAGATATACTTCAAATAACCCCCCGGACTGTAACAGCCTCATCCCTCCTTCAAAGTGCAGTCATTATACTTTCTACCTCCAGGACTTGAATCCTAGAGATGGGATTAACATATACATATCGTTATTTATCTACGTGCGGATCAATCAGCTTAAGGAATGGACGTTCTATCCTCCGTCCGCTAAGCGTGAAGCAGACAGGTTACATACACGTACTGACCTGGAAGAGAGTGAGGCTTGCCCCAGGCCATTCAGTGCAGTAAATAATCCTGGGGTGGTGTGGTGCGGTGTCGTTGGCTGAGGTGAGGTTGAGAGCAGTGGGGTAGTCGTGGAGGGTATCGTTGTAACCCTCGGCCCACGAGAGATCCCCAATACCCCCCGAGTCGTTGTAGAGAGTACCCAGAGTGAAATTGGCCAGCCTCGCCGACTCCTCGGTTGGTGCTGACCTCCTCCAGGGGGCGCTGACGGCCTTGACCGTCACGTTGGTGTTAAGTGGCATGGCACCTCAGGCCTTCCTTCCACCACCTCGTACTGTTCTGTCTTCCTTTCTTATCCCTCTGTCTGAGGTCTCGTTGTTCCCGATGACTTCGTCCGTCACCTCCAACTCTGTGTTGCAAGGAAAGGAAATATATCTATGGATTAGCAATACACATGAAATTCTACGAACACACACACACACACACACTAAAACTGGGGACTGGACACCACGATAGCTCTGTTGTTGTGTCTACCAACACCGAGGACGCAATAATCTCCAGTAGAATGAATGGTGTGATTCGGTTCACCTTTCTTGACTGAATATCATGGTCCCTCTATAATTATCTGCATATGTGTTCGATGCTCTATAATTCCTGGAGAAGTCTGGTATTGAGCCTATAATTACGTCTGGGTTCTTGCGCCTGGTCTATAATTTGCTTGGTGCGACTCACGGCTCAGCTTCCCATTCATTACACTGAGGGTTGTTCAGCCCACGCAAGTGTGCACTGTCCACACCATGGTTTACGCAGCCCCTCTACCCTTGTACATACTACTGGGTGTAGACAGCCACTGTACATCTGTATGTGTACAAGTGTGGGGTAAGGAAAGTCTCCGTACAGCTGTACATGTACACTTGTGGGTGTAGACAACCAGTGTCACAACACTTCATTTAATGACACATCTGCTAGCCACTGAGAGCTTCCAAATTCTGTAATAACAAAGATGAGCGAAACTCCTCTCTAGCATTATTACAATCGTTCGTAATATTAGCCTGTATATTAGGAGAGAGAGAATGAGGCTATCATTAAGAACATAAGAAAGAAGGAACACTGCAGCAGGCGCTATAAGGTGTAAATCGAGGCGTCATTACAGCCTTAAATCAAGAATGGAAGCCTTGTCTGAGGGGCACATCCTCGCACCAGCACTGAAAAAAATTTCAAATTTGAACGCCTCCTGTTTTTCCTCTGCCACCTCGCTGATTAAATGTTTTTATATGTAGCATAATATAGCCCAAGCTGACCATACTGAAGAGGATCGAAATATACAGATCAATTAATCTTCGGAGTTTCTGTCTCTGTGTCATTATTGAACATTGGAAAGTGTTAATTACACTTTAGTAATCCAAATTAAACAAAAGATGAAAAAAAAGAAACAATTTGGAGACAATTCGAGACGTCTGAAAACTGACGCTGAGCGAAACGTCAAATCTGTACGTTGTAAAATGAGAAAGTGCCGATTTACGAGCTAATCTCACAGGCGTCTGCACTGCCAGACGTACCCACCCAGGCCAGGCAACGCAACGCTGCTGCCAGACGTACCCACCCAGGCCAGGCAACACAATGCTGCTGCCAGACGTACCCACCCAGGCCAGGCAACACAACGTTGCTGCCAGACGTACCCACCCAGGCCAGGCAACACAACGCTGCTGCCAGACGTACCCACCCAGGCCAGGCAACACAACGCTGCTGCCAGACGTACCCACCCAGGCCAGGCAACACAACGCTGCTGCCAGACGTACCCACCCAGGCCAGGCAACACAACGCTGCTGCCAGACGTACCCACCCAGGCCAGGCAACACAACGCTGCTGCCAGACGTACCTACCCAGGCCAGGCAACACAACACTGCTGCCAGACGTACCCACCCAGGCCAGGCAACACAACGCTGCTGCCAGACGTACCCACCCCAGGCCAGGCAACACAACGCTGCGGGCCAGACGTACCCACCCAGGCCAGGCAACACAACGCTGCTGTCAGACGTACCCACCCAGGCCAGGCAATACAACGCTGCTGCTAGACGCACCCACCCAGGCAACACAACGCTGCTGCCAGACGTACCCACCCAGGCCAGGCAACACAACGCTGCTGCCAGACGTACCCACCCAGGCCAGGCAACACAACGCTGCTGCCAGACGTACCCACCCAGGCCAGGCAACACAACGCTGCTGCCAGACGTACCCACCCAGGCCAGGCAACACAACGCTGCTGTCAGACGTACCCACCCAGGCCAGACAACACAACGCTGCTGCCAGATGTACCCACCCAGACCAGGCAACACAACGCTGCTGCCAGACGTACCCACCCAGACCAGGCAACACAACGCTGCTGCCAGACGTACCCACCCAGGCCAGGCAACACAACGCTGCTGCCAGACGTACCCACCCAGGCCAGGCAACACAACGCTGCTGCCAGACGTACCCACCCAGACCAGGCAACACAACGCTGCTGCCAGATGTACCCACCCAGGCCAGGCAACACAACGCTGCTGCCAGACGTACCCACCCAGGCCAGGCAACACAACGCTGCTGCCAGACGCACAAAACCCAACAATACACAGCCAAAAAAAACTTCTTCAGTGGCTGTACGGCGCCAGCCAGTGTCATGAAGGCATCTCGCTCTACCCAGTGTCACTGCTATTATTACCTCACCTTGGGACACATTAAGGACCAAATGCACAAATAATCCCCACGCACGAGACCGAAACTTATGACTTAGTTACGATTCGACTTGGACCATTAATGGTCAAATTATTATTATAATAAAAAAAGAAGAGCTAAGCCAATTAATGGTCCAAGATAATTGTATTATAATGTTTTATTGCAGCATGATACTATGTACAGAGATGGGTGACAGTTGTGCATGCAGGAAGCCCATAGCTATGCAGAGTATTTAGGGCAAAGTGGTTTCTGTCCCTCCAGTGAACAGTGTTCATGACACTCTTATCACAGCATTATCTTATAATGAACTATTTCAAGTACAAAAGTAAGTCAATATCTCGCAACAATGACGTCAAACTTCGAGGCGGGAAGTGTTATTTTGTCTTTTACAGTGTGGAACAGTAGTTCAGACTAGTCTATAAATTGTGATAAAATAATACTCATTCATGAACCATTTGTACAATAAGAATGCTAGATATAGCCACTGAAATAGTTATCTTATTGTCATGAACTACCGAGGACTAACAGCAGACCACCTAAGGTGTAATAGTAGTGGTGGTAGTATTAGTAGTTACTACAATAGTGGTAGTTAGTTAGTTAGTTTAATATGTTTATTATGCACCACATACCCATCCTGTGGGCGGCAGTCAAAAGATTACAGAGGTACATAATTGGTCCAGGGACTGGACTCCAAAGTTTTGATAGCTGAGCAAGTTACAGAGGTAATGAACTCACAATTTACAAAGGTAATGAACTCACAATTTACAAACTTACCTGGAGTTCATTACCTTTGTAAATTGTGAGTTCATTACCTTTGTAAATTGTGAGTTCATTACCTTTGTAAATTGTGAGTTCATTATCTACAATAGTGGTAGTGGCAGAAATAGTAGTTTTATCAGTCGCTACAAGTTCCAAGTCGACGTCTAAATAGCTATGCATATTGTTTCAAAGCTACATGATCATTCTCATCACCTACTTTCTCAAGTTATTAGTGAAGCCGGAGAAAAAAGGGAAGGAGAGACATGATAATGATCTCTGATGTAATCCAAACAAGGCCAACTGGGACCATTCTAAAAGGAAGGGAGACCTTCTGCTATACCTCAACCTCAACAGTCTTACTAGAAGAGAAGACAGGTAGGTAGTAGCTAGTCCTTCAGTGCAGATAGCTTCAAAACAGGCACTAAAGTTCTGATATCCGACTGTCCTCTTTACATATTGGGACGCGATACGCCGTAAGTTGTCATTAACTGTTTAAACCCCAACACGACGTCTGTATCTCTCTCTGTGGTCTGGGTCAATATTCAGGTCTCGGTGACCCTCACCGACTGACCCACATACTGACCCTCTAGGCTGGTCAATACAAACTCCCTGGCCTGGTGTGTGTGTGTATATTATATATATATATATATATATATATATATATATATATATTATATATATATATATTATTATTATTATTATTATTATTATCACACTGGCCGATTCCCACCAAGGCAGGGTGGCCCGAAAAAGAAAAACTTTCACCATCATTCACTCCATCACTGTCTTGCCAGAAGGGTGCTTTACACTACAGTTTTTAAACTGCAACATTAACACCCCTCCTTCAGAGTGCAGGCACTGTACTTCCCATTTCCAGGACTCAAGTCCGGCCTGCCGGTTTCCCTGAACCCCTTCATAAATGTTACTTTGCTCACACTCCAACAGCACGTCAAGTATTAAAAACCATTTGTCTCCATTCACTCCTATCAAACACGCTCACGCATGCCTGCTGGAAGTCCAAGCCCCTCGCACACAAAACCTCCTTTACCCCCTCTCTCCAACCTTTCGTAGGCCGACCCCTACCCCGACTTCCTTCCACTACAGACTGATACACTCTTGAAGTCATTCTGTTTCGCTCCATTCTCTTTACATGTCCGAACCACCTCAACAACCCTTCCTCAGCCCTCTGGACAACAGTTTTGGTAATCCCGCACCTCCTCCTAACTTCCAAACTACGAATTCTCTGCATTATATTCACACCACACATTGCCCTCAGACATGACATCTCCACTGCCTCCAGCCTTCTCCTCGCTGCAACATTCATCACCCACGCTTCACACTATATATAAGAGCGTTGGTAAAACTATACTCTCATACATTCCCCTCTTTGCCTCCAAGGACAAAGTTCTTTGTCTCCACAGACTCCTAAGTGCACCACTCACTCTTTTCCCCTCATCAATTCTATGATTCACCTCATCTTTCATAGACCCATCCGCTGACAACGTCCACTCCCAAATATCTGAATACATTCACCTCCTCCATACTCACTCCCTCCAATCTGATATTCAATCTTTCATCACCTAATCTTTTTGTTATCCTCATAACCTTACTCTTTCCTGTATTCACCTTTAATTTTCTTCTTTTGCACACCCTACCAAATTCATCCACCAATCTCTGCAACTTCTCTTCAGAATCTCCCAAGAGCACAGTGTCATCAGCAAAGAGCAACTGTGACAACTCCCACTTTGTGTGATTCTTTATCTTTTAACTCCACGCCTCTTGCCAAGACCCTCGCATTTACTTCTCTTACAACCCCATCTATAATATATTAAACAACCACGGTGACATCACACATCCTTGTCTAAGGCCTACTTTTACTGGGAAAAAATTTCCCTCTTTCCTACATACTCTAACTTGAGCCTCACTATCCTCG